ATGATACTCATCTATGTGAAGATACTGATCACGTTAATGATTTCTCACAATAATTATCAACAATGACTTAACAAGGTGGGAAACAGATAATATCAATATTCAACACTTTATTTCTATTAATCTCAGCAATTGTTTAAATTTTCAGACGATCACTTCTACAACATTTCATAAGGAAAATGTCCCATTTTCACTAGCCACTGACAAACCCTTTGAACAAATCATAGTCAAAGTCAACTTCAATATGAGAATAAAAATTTGACAATATAAAAAATAAATAATTAAATTTAATTAGAAATGGATATCAAATTTTAGACGCAGCTCACTGGTGAGTTGTGTTATTTTTAGAACAGGCCTGCAGGCGACTCATGTGGTCCTTGGGGGCTACCTGGTGCCCATGGGCACCATGTTGGTGACCCCTGCTTTAAGATGCCCTATACTACAGTTAATCTCAAAATATGGTTTCTGATTTATGCATTAGAATGTGTGCTCTAAAAGTAATTAGAAATGAACCTGGCCAGAAGTTTTGCAGAAGATGCAGTCAACTAAACTGTCAGTAACAGTGGAGTTGAATTACCTAATGATTAATCTTAGGTGTAATTTGTGGCGTGACATGCAATAAAGTAATAAAGAGTGCCACCTTCCACTCACTGTAAAAGCCTGCTGCACCTTGGCAGATTTGTCAGGTTAGAAGAGAGAACCTGTCTCTACAGAGGAAACGGTTTCACTTTGCTTATAAGCCACTCATCCATGTGCAACATTCAGTCTTCAGTGCCTCTGCTTTAGCTTAACAGGGATTTTATGTGTATATGTCAAAAATGTTTGTGTTAAGTAGTTCCTAGTAGTTTCAGTAGAGATACCTGATGAGATATAAATGTCCTCAGTATTGTCACTTGAAGTACTACCGCTTAGGTTTCAAGACTAAACATCTGTCATTGTGCATTGGAGTTGTGGGTAAAGGTAGACCAGGGGTATGGCCGAGGAAGCATTTGCTTTAGTCCAAGACGATGTTGCTTTATCGTGACATCTAGTGCCAGTGAATATCTTTTATACATTGCCTATTAAATACTCTAGAAAACTATAAAGTTGTGACAGTAAAATAAAACATGGATGCTGTTGCAAAATATGCAGCGATCTCTGGGTCACCATGGAAACTGCAAGTGATAAAACACAGTACCACTCACTTAAGATCCATATTTACGTATGATAAATTGAAAATAATACGATGATGGATTGCTGCTTGTGGCTTGAAACAGTGAAAGCAGACAGAAACACTCTAACTCTTCACTTTCACACAGATCCAGTATTTCCTGCAGCTTGTCCACTCGTCCCACACTTTGCTGCATACTTTCACAAGGCCATCTAGTTATTTTAGGATCCCCCTTTAACTCAAACTACAGCCCTCTTACTCTTACACAAACATTCTTCAGCTTCCACAAACCTTAAGATAATCTGTCTGACTTTACAGCTGAGCATATATAAATATATCTTCCACCACAGTTCCTTGACATATCTGAACTTAATTGTGCATCCAGCATGTGTGTTAAAAGGGTGTGTTTGCACTGTAAGTGTCTGTGCATGACATGTCATCCATCTCAAACCCAACTCCGCTATTTCCACTGTTTCTGTGAAGGAAAACAGATTGAGAGAAAACCTCAAGAATGCCGTCAGTCTCAACACTATCATTTAAAAGAAATCTGATCTGGGGGAATGTGAGTGAGCGACACAACACAAGATTGTTCTGGAATATAAATACTCTGACCTCGTCTCTCCGCCTCAGCCTCAGACCACAGCACCCATGGCAAACAAACTTTCACATGCTAACTGTTACATGCAGGAGAGCGTTTATACCCGTGTTGTGCCTGTGGGGTTCACATGAGGTTTGATGTGAGCGATGGACCGAAAAGGAGTCCGGAGCAAAAGGATCTGAATGTTTTCAGTCTCGCCCAAACAGAGTACATTCAGCAATGTGCTGCTGCCTGGACTGGAACACAGCAGTAAGGTGGAGATGCAAAAGATACACACCTGATGTGCTTCCACAACTCACACTGTACCAGGGTACAGAACCACACGTCACAAATTAAGGATGAAAAACACTTTTTTACTGCCCATTAGCCAAAAAATGACCACTCATGAATTGGTCTCTTGAAAGCAAGAATGCTGAATGAAGAAATTCATTCTTGTGGAATTTCTGTGGTGACAAAAACATCTCTGCAACATTCTAGCAACGTCCTCAGTTAAAGTGACGTGTATTTGATTTGTGACATTACTTTGTTTCTGCAAAACTCATTTTTTCCTTTTTCATTCGAAGATTAAATGGCCAAAATGTTGACTTTTCTCTTAACACATGCAGTTGTGCAAAAACCAACCAACTAAAAGCCCAGGTTTTCTCTGACTTTTAACTGTACCTCGTGGTTTTTATCAGTAGTTCATGGGAGTTACTTTGCTTGACAGAAGATCAATAACCATCCATTTACAGTCAGTAATCCACAATGAAATAGTCAAAGACCAATTTATTGAAAACCAAAAACTAAAGCCCAACACAAAGAAAAGTATGTAAAACCTATAAATTCAGCAGAAGTCTCTCTGGCAGCTTTAAGTCTTCTTGGATAAATGTCTGCAAGCTTTGCCTTATCTCTGTCTTCCTTGCAGAGCACGGTTTCTTTTGAAACTCTCTGTATTTTGTATAGTCTAGCCATCACTGCCACTGAGAAGAGCCCCATAACATGATGCTGCCACCACTATGCTTCACCAAAAGCATGATATTAGCCAGGTGGGGAACAGTGCTTGGTGTTCACCAGAAAAGGTTTTGTTTAAAGGGTTTCGTTTTTGTCTCATCACGCCAGAGAACATTTTTCCTCATGCTCTCTCTTTTAATAGTGTTTGGCACACTCCAACACCTTTTACTCCAAGTGGCCTCCTTCTCACAACTCTACCATGAAGGTCTCGCTGATGGTGAGCTGCTGTGAACCTCGTCCTTCATGTATGCTTACAGGGCACATTCCATGCATACGGAGCAGATTGGCAAAGCATGAGTTTGTGCAATACAAATTAAAACCTGGGATCCATTTTTTCACCTCATGGGCGATTGGAACTATTGTTGTATAGTGGAGCTCATGCACAGTTAGCAACACTGTCTGCCAGTGGACAACAAATTAGCAGGTACACATATGTCAACACAGAGTCTTGTGTTTCTCTTGAGTACAACACTGTCCTTTGAGTGACCATTGGGTTCTTGGTCAGTTCCCTGACTGAGGCGCTTCTTGCCTAGTTGCTCTGTTTGGGTGGACGGCCAACTCTATGAAGTCATGGTGTTTCCTAACTCCTATGAAAGCTTTGGCAATGTCTCGCCATAGCTTTATGATGAAGGTCTAGAGAGTGTTTCTTGCACTTTGGTTTGGTTGTTGTCTCGTCCTGACAAACACATCTGCATGCGTCTTTTTAATCCGTTCAGTTTGCCACAGGTCAAATCCAAGTTGTAGACACATCTCAAAGATAAGTAAAGCAAACAGGATGTACCTGTCCACAATTTGGAGTCACAGCAGTTTTTCATTTTCTTAAACATTTGCAAATAATACTAGAAATCCTCGACATCTAAACATTTCCAGCTGACTCATTTTGGACCATTTGAAATCACATCACTGTCACTTCTCATGACTGCAACCTTTTAACCATTTGATGCCTGTATCTTAAGTTACCAGAGAAACACACTGAACAACCGGAGTCCCTCCTGATGTCCTGTGTCTGGCAAACAACAACAGACAAACATTGAACTTTAATGGTGTATGTCAATGTTAATGTCAATTAATTCATTATGGCTACGTTTCAAATGCACTGTGGTGGTGTACAAATATTATGTACCTGACTGTGTATGAGGGTGGGGGTGCTGGTTACATTTTATGAGAACATTCTTGCCCTGTTACTGACCTTCTCAAACCTCAGGGGAACTATGGGGACTCTCACCCTACTCCTTGTTTTTTCTTTGTCTCTTCACTACACACACTTTATCTTCTACCTGCATCCTTCCTGTATTTGCTCCTGGCTTCAACGCTCCTTTACCCTCAACCCTTTGCTCCCACCACAGCGTGGTTATACTCTCCCTCTTTCTTTTTTTACTTTCTCTCTTCCTTTCTCTTTCACAATCCTTCATGGTTTTCCCAAATTGCTTCTCGTCCCTCCCTCTGTCCTCTGCTGCTCCAGATGTAGCCTCCTCCTCAGTTTGTCATGACCATAAAAGGACAAAACCAGGCCCTGTGGCCTTGCCGTTTCCCTCTTAGTCCCTCCATCTCTCATTCTCTTGCTCCCTTTCCACCATACTCCATCCCTCTCTCTTCCTCCTGTCTCAAATACTCCATCTCTTGCTTCCTCTCTCCTTCTTTCGAACAATGATCTCCTTGACAGCATTGATACAAGGTCAGGGTAATACATAAAACATAAAAAAAACTGTAATGTAAATCGATTTGAGTGGTCATCAAGACTAGAAAAGCGCTATATAAATACAAGCCATTTACGTGCATGTATGCAAACATATATGTTGTGTCTCCATGACTTCTGAGGACATTACATTCACTTATATTGATTGCCCAGAGACTTACTTTAACCATTGTTACTACTTTTCTAACCCTAACCCTTACCATAACCTTACCTTAAAACATGCTTCACCTTAAAATGGAATGATTTCTTGATGATTTATTAAGGGAACTTTCTGTCCCTATAAGGAAGCCAAGTGACTGATAGTGAGTAATGCCTGGACAACACGTTTGTACCTCTACTGTATCTTAGTGAGGACACTCATTCTCACATAATAATAATGTTCTTGCCTCTTACCCTAACCATTCAAAGTAAATGCTTCACCCTAACCCTCAAACAGCCCTTTGAAAAAGTGAGGAGCAGTCAAAATGACCTTACTCTGTAGAGTCTATGCATAAAATGGTCCTCACAAAGGTAAGTACACACACACACACACACACACACACACACAGAGCCATAATAGAGCTAAAGATTGAATAAGCTCACCTGCACAGTCTTCTTAATGCGCTGGGATGGCCCAGGGTAGTCCTTGGAGTACAGGTCAGTCAGGAACAGGGAGTTGATGAGTGTTGATTTCCCAAGACCAGACTCACCTGAGGACACAGACACTGGGTTTAGCGACAGTATATCTATCTATATATATTTCTATATATATATCTATATGGGTACGATTTTAAATGTAATGCTTTCTCTATTTTGTGACAAAGCTATGAGAGCTCAGAAGTGTTGCCACACATACATGCATTAAAAAACATACACAAAAGCACACTGCATTGCACACAATCTAACGACCAACACACGCACGTGCACACGCACACACCCAACACACGCACGGCCTGGGGGGGACGGGGCAGAAGCTGGGAAGTAGAGTTGATTAATTGTCTGAAAGGGAAAAGGTCAGGAGCCTGGCTGCCAGCAAGAAAAGCTTTCAGATAGAGGGAATAAAACATTTCCTCTCCCCCTCCTGCGCACCATCCCCATTCATCCACTCTCTTTCTATCCCTCTCACTCAACGCTTCCCTTATAACATAAATCTTACTGTTTCTCTCCTTACTGTGCCAACTTTCCATTCCCTACTCCCATTAAGATGCGAAGAGCAGCCACACAAACACAAAGTTAACATTGACTTGACAAAGCACACATCTATTCCAACCATAAACACTGCATACGCTCACACACGTGTCCACACACACTCACACACACACAATGCTGTGATGAATGTTGGAGTGGCTCGTGTCTCGTGAAAAAAAGTGTGTTGGAGGAGAGTTTGGGTGGAGGGAAGGAGGCCTGCCTGTCCTAAAGAGACCTCAGCACCACTCTGAGCCACTACCACTGGATTTGGAAGCATCATGGTTTTCCAGTAAGTTGCAGTGACACAAGAGACAGAGTGAAAAGGGCAAAAATATAAGTGTGAAACATCCCGAACCTGATAAAGTTACAGGCCTGGATCACAATTTCAGGAAATATCCACTGCCACAGCAGTCACTCAAACAAATGATAGCTGAACCTCTAAAGCAGCTGAAAGCTATTTAAATATGTAAAACTTGGAAACTGGTATTGACTGAGGATAATGTTCATCAGAAATGAATGGCCACATTAAAAGGCAAAAATGGCTTTGAGTTTCTCTAATAGTACCTAAAGATGCTGAACTAAGATCCTGAAAGGTAGACACTGAGTTAAGGGTTTGTTATCTATTGACCTTTTTTTTAGTTTAAAATGGCTAGAACAATTCTGTTTTTAAATCCACTCTAAAATTATAGGACATTTAATAAGCTGAAGCAAGCAAATATTAGACATTTTAGATTTCATTCGATAATACAAATATACCTTAGCATTGCTAGGGCAGTGACCCCACACTTCCTCTATCAGTCATTTAACCTGTTAACTCCCTATTACAGCTAAACTATTTTTTGAAACACATTTTACCTCGAAGTGAGAAAAAGTATATAAATTATATTTATCGTATATCTTCGACTCTGAATATCAGCATTGCAAACAGACAGAGACACTACTGCACTCAAAGAAATCCTGCTGCTTTCGGCAAATGAAGAAAAATGTGTTTAATGCTGCAAATCTCTGTTTCTCTTATCATAGAGCATCTGTGAGCCTTCGAGTAGAAAGCTGGATCTTTTCCATGTTCAAATGGCCATCAGATGTTTCTCCAGTAATTCTAGATTGATTAGTGATTTTCCAGAAATCCGAGAGCTGGCAAACTGATGTGCCATATGTGGGGCTCCTAAAGGTGCTCCAGACTTGTTCTGCTGTAACTGGTTAGTGTGGAGCAAAGTGCCAATTCAAGGAAACATGTCTGAAGTAGAACAAATCTAAACCCTTATACAGAAGTCAGTCAAATTTACTATAAAACTATTTTCCCCAAAGCAGGATTTCAATTGTATTCTTATTAAGGATAACTAGAATTAGCGCTGTGCGGTTGTATGCATCTACCAACCACTGCAATTTCAGTCTAAATTATTTTTCTTTCCAGAATCATATGAGGTCACTGTGACCTCTGACTTTTGACCACTGAAATCTTATCAGTTAGTCCAAGTGAGAACTGGTCATATTCCCCTAAGACAGACTTGAGATAACACGATAAAGAAGACACTGTGACCGTGACATTTGAACCTTGGCTATCAAAATCACATCCATTAACCCCAGATGTTTGTGCCAAAGGATTCCCTCAAGGCATTCTTGAGATATCGCGTTCACAAGAAGCCAGCCACCTGCAGGAAGGGAACATCTGCAGGAGAACGATTCCATTCACTCTGTCCACAGGAGATGTGAACTGTAAATTCCGTTGGACCATGTTGACATGGAGTGACTGGTCTGTCTGTGTGTGTACTTTTTTCCCCACAAACATTCTGTGAAGACCCCTCCCACCTCTGCCACTGACCCTGATATTCTTCTGGTTAAATATGTTTGGAATGACGCAGAAAACACACGTTCCATCTTTATGAATATGTTGTATTTTAAAGGCCTGTTACCTTAACCATAGGGTAGAATGTTCATCTTGAAAGTAACTTGTAACCAAGACCAACAGATAAATATGTCCTTTGGAAACATAGGAGTGGAAATTCTCAATTAACTCAAAACTGTACTGCAAAGTACTTAGGTAAATGCATTTAAAAAAATGTTTGCCCCTGGCCACAACCTATAACATACAATGACCAAAATAGCAGCTTTTAGCAAAGAACAGCAAGTCCAGTTTCCATGACTCAGATACAGTAACACTTAAAGGTTCAGTGTGTAGAATTTTGTGATATCTAGTGTTGAAGTTACATGTTGCAGCTGAACACCCCTCACCTCACCCTCTCCTTCCAAACATGAAAGAGAACCTGTGGTAGCTTTAATTGTCATAAAAACTCAAAAGGTGTTTAGTTTGTCCAGTCTGGACTAATGTAAAAAACATGGCAACCTCCGATGTAAATATAAAGTATTTAAATATAAAGGGCCTTTTCTGGAGTAAAGAAAACTACAATTCATACAATTTAGATGAAACAAACTAGTGAAAACATCATGAGGATTATTCTACATTCAATTTCTGCCAATAGATCCCTTCCACCTAAATCTTACACACTGGACCTTTAAGCAATATTTTGGCATCAACAGGGGCTGTGAAAAACCTAATAAGGTTGTGCTGTAATAAAGTATTATGGTGTCCTGAATATATGAAAATAGCGACAGTGTCCATTTCATTGTCATCATGATGCACTGTTTGCAATCAGTTTTTGATCGAGACTTTGTTTTATTACTAAAACTGGAACATAAAACAGTTAATGTTACTTAAAAGCAAAGAAATGCAATTAGTGTTTCATGTAAAAAGATGCAATATGGAAATATAAACTAAAAAATGTTAATAAAACGTAAGATGGGAAATCACTGTTGCTACGAATCGGTACGAATGCTATGAAATGGTAAAGCAGTAGGAGCAGCTAAAATGGGATTTTTAATCCCCTTGTGATAATGTTGACTACAGAAGCTTCTGGGGGAGGGTTAACAGTTAACAGTATCAAAATAGTGTAACAAATTCGACACAAAGACTGATGGACTGTTTGGCGTCAGAGGTCAAGGAGGTCTCACACACTCACACACGCACGCACGCACGCACACACACGCACGCACGCTTGTACTTGGTGAGGACATTCATTGGCATAATAATAATAACTGTATTTGTATAGCACTGATCTAAACAAAGTTACAAAGTGCTTCACAGGAAAGATAATAAAATCCATGGCTAGAAGAAGAATAAATTGTAATAAAAAGGGATTTAATTCAGTTAGATTTTTTGAGTTTAACTATCACATTTGAGCTCTGTAAGACTGGTTGTTGTAATGAAAATAATAACAATTGTACATTGGTGTCATTAGGTGTTTCAGCCTATTAATCACAATAATGTTGAGAGAGGCTAAAGGTAAATCTGACTGGCTACTGGCTTGTATGGCAGTGCTATGAAAGCCATGTGGCCCGCTCAGTAGATCAGACGTCATTACCTCTGTGCCTTTATTATTCTATTTATTTATTGGTTTTAAACTAAACTGAACTAAATACCTACTCTCATAGGAAGCAGAGTCAGAAGCTGTCATATTAAACCCAACAGTTCCCACAATGAGCAGCCCTGTGGCGACTGTGGAGAGGAAAAACTCCCTCTTTAACTGGGAGAAACCTCTGGCACAACCAGACTCAGTGTGGGCGTCTGCCTCGACCGGTTGGGGTGAGAGGAGARAAATGGGGAAAGAGGAGGTGGGTGGCAATGAGGGAGTAGAATAGAGAGGGAGATGGGGTGGTTGGGTCAGGAGAGGGGAGAGGGACCTCGAGAACATCATACATGAACTCGATAAGTCTCATTATTGTAGTGAAAGTAATTACAGGTCGCATGTTAGAAATGCTTTCCTGTAAAAATAAGTTTGCATTCCCTAACCCTAACACTTAACCTAACCCTAAAACCAGGTCTTAACCCCCAAACAGTCCATTAAAGGGGGGTCACAAAGTGAGGACCGGCCAAAATGTCCTCACTCTCCCAAAAATGTCCTCACTCTGTAGGTTAAAGGCTGGAACTGGTCCTCACAAAGACAGCTGTACAAGAGCATACACACACACACACACACTTCCATGATAAAATAGCACTGATGTATGAAAGGGGGGAGGGGCTCCTGTGTGTTGGTCTCTGCTCCTGCTGTTAGCTTTGCCATTTTGGCAGCTATGTGTTACTACCTACTGATGCTGCCATGACAAAACAAACAGCAGGAACTGAGTGAAACAATGACCCCACTCACACGACGGCTGGAGCGTGATGCTCCACCTTAGCTGGTCAAATATCTGTCTAACAGGTGTGATGGATTAACGGGAACAATCCTTCACTGTGACCGCGTGGTTCGCTGAAACACTCGAGTCATTTTTACAAATTGCTTCCAACATTAAAATGATTTCCATATCGGTACATTTGTTTCAGGGTCATGGTCACAAGGGATCTGAACTACAGTTAATGAAATTCATCTGTTTCTTTTATGGTATCGCACAGGGTCAAAGAGTTTAGCACTCTTACAGTGTGTTGCAGTGAAGTGATCTCTGAGACAGCATCTTTTTGGAATATGAA